AGTGGTGAGAAGTTGTATGTTGTCAGATCTACAGAGGTGAGCTGGGTAGCTCTGGAGACGTTGCTCAGGTCTCCAGAAGCCTGCCAGACTCTGAACCCAGAGTGCAGACTCATTAGCATTCAGAGGGGAAAATAACCATGGCGGACACATCTCAAGCACTAGGAAGAGACAGGCTGTGTTTTAATTATGACCTGGACTTTTGAACAAATCCTTTTCTCTGCTTCTCTGAGCCTCAGAAAAAACAACTTGTAGGAGGCTGTGCAGTCGACAGCTGGGTCCACAGTGGTACCCGTACAGCTGTGTACACATCTGGCACCCAGGTGGTAGATGGCATTCTCCTCTCCTCGAATTGTTCTTGAAGGTTACAAGAGACAAGGGAGTAAGGTACAGCTGATATAGTTTGGATCCAGGGAAGGAGGATGGAAGGAACAAGGCATGCCTGCCCCTTCTGGCCTGCAGCCCTCCAGGGAACATGGCCACATCAGGGTTTGAGCCTAGTTGACTACTTTCACTTCTACCAGCTCCTGAGTCAACATGGTGGACTGTCTTTGTTCCGCTCGTTCTAGCCCTCCCTTCTTTAACACAGGGGAAATTTATGGAGTGAGGGAAAAATTTAACAGGAAAGAAAAAGATGAGGAGATTAATAGGGTAGGAGTCAGACAAGCACAGATGCTACCATCCGCTGCTGAAGCTTCTTAAGTGTTTGTTGACTCCCTGGGAACGTTTGCCTTGAGTCTGTTTAACAGTCCATTTCAGAGGATGGGGAACAGAAGCAAGGCTTGGGGACAAAAGGCCTTTGACTAGCTTCTGGAAAAGCATCGATTAGTTTGCTCAGGTTGGCAAACAGAGACCAGGGACTTGGGAGGCCAAGGGCCAAACTAGGTAGATTTTCTGTACAACGAGTGGCATCTAGCAAGAGGAGAGGGTGTGAAAGAAAATATTGGAGGGACTCCAGTAACAAGTCAGGAAAACCACAGTGGGCAGCTGGAGGAAGGGAGGGAGAGGGGAAAGCCTTCTGGTTCTTGTAGTTCGGGGTATGGAGCTTATTAGTAGTGAAAGGACAACACCAGCCATTGATAGGTCCTCAACTTTCTCCTCCATTGCAGAATGTGAGAGACAGAGAGGGGGCATGTAAAATCAGTTGCTTCCCAGGGGCTCCTGACAGCTGAGGGATGGGTGTGGGAGCCCACAGCTTAGGTTGTAGGCTGTATAACATACTCCTTCCAATTCTGCAGCTCTCCTCCTGTCCCAGGAGGCTGTCTGTGGGTGGCTCCAGGATTCATGGCAGGTGATCTCATTCTTTCTTTTAAGCTTTGGCTTCTTCCACTCGAAGCTTCAATGTCTTCCCTCTTTCCAGTTCCAATCTGTGTGTCACGCCTTCTCGGGAGCCCTTCCCAAGCTTCCTCTGCACTCTACCTTCAAATTGTTCCCTTCTTCGCCAAGCTTCCAAGACAAACACGCTGTGTGAGGGCATTGCCGGTTAATCAAACAGGTACCATTTTATGGTTGGGAAGTGATGGAATGTTCTAATTCCTTATATATGCTCTAGCTCTGTGTTATAATATTTTGTAGCCATGGGGACACCTCTGCGTTGTTCTTTTTAATTTCTTTAGTGCCACTGTGGCACACATGTGGAGGTCAGAGGTCACCTTTATGACCTCCTTACATCTTATGATCTCCTTACATCTTTAAGAGGGCCTCGGGGTTTGAATTCAGGTTGTCAGGTTTCAAGGACTTTTATCCACCCTGATATCTTCCTAGTCTGACTTATGTTCTTCCACAAGCAGATGAGGTCCAAATAGTGGAGGATTTGTCTTGTATACCATTGAGTCTACAGCTCTCTCTCTCTCTCTCTCTCTCTCTCTCTCTCTCTCTCTCTCTCACACACACACACACACACACACACACACACACACACACACACACACTGTATACTTGACTCCATATGTGGATACAGTTAGGGCATGGTTTCTATTTTTCTCTCTCTGTTCAATCACAGCCCATGCAATGGATGCTTCTGAATTAGTGAAAACGAGAGAATGAAAAGAAGAACGAGCAGCTGACATATGAACAAGCAAAGACATAGGATTGGCCCCACTTAGGCCAATGCAGTAGTTGGCTTGTCTATAGGAAAACAGTCTTCTGTTGTTTATGTTTCAGTCATTCCTGCCAAAGTGGGTCGAATTAGCAGAACAAATTGGCATCAGCTCCCTAAATATATTTTGTATCCGCTCGTGTCTGTCTTTGTGAAGAGAGGGGCAGTGCAGTTTTATGCCCTGCCCCCTCCTTGCTGCGCACTCTCTCTCTCTTGTGCCATCTGACCTTCCTATATGTATCCGTTCCTCTGGTATGCAGGGATAAACAGAGAATGTTTTGCAAAGACTCCTTCTGCCCCTGCGATCATGTTACTGGCTTTAAAAAGAAAACGACTTTCTTTTGAAAGTAGTAAAATAAATGCTATATATAAAATGAATGAATCTCACAGATTTGCCTATGTGCCCAGTGCCTATGCTGCAGTGTTTGCAAATGCAATTATAATCTCAGCAGATAATTTAAAAGAGAAAAAATAGATATTTAAATTTTTGGACTTCCACTAGTCAGCCTCTGTTGTCATGAATTTAAAGGGACCAGAAAGATACCAATTACCCTGAATCTGAAATCCACTCCAGTACAAGCATTCCTGTCCTAAGGCTGGAAGGAAGACCTCATTGTTTTTCTTTCTCTCTCACTTGTAGACTGTTTGCTGTCAAATGTGGGGGCTGTTTCGAGGCCATTGCACCCAACGAATTTGTCATGCGTGCCCAGAAGAGTGTGTATCACCTGAGCTGCTTCTGCTGCTGTGTCTGTGAGCGACAGCTGCAGAAGGGTGATGAGTTTGTCCTGAAGGAGGGCCAGCTTCTCTGCAAAGGGGACTATGAGAAGGAGCGGGAGCTGCTGAGCCTGGTGAGCCCCGCAGCCTCAGACTCAGGTGAGTGCCTCGTGGTGGGCAGGGGCTCCATGGAATGCAGCCTAGCTACTTGGCAACTCTCTGCATTTAAAGAACTTCCTTTTCAAGCTCAGAAGCAGCTTTTATAAGTGAGCGATTGTGATGATTTATACAACCTAAAACACAGGCTCCTGCATTTTTAAGTCTCTGGTTAACTGGGGTGACTTTGCCTCAAGCTGGAGTCTGCTGACCTCAATTAACTGAGTTTAGCTCTAGGCCTTGATCAGGTTCAGGTCTTCTGTGATTTGCTCTGGGGTTCAGGTTAGAGGAGCAGGAGCTGTAAGGAATGAGTTCCTGCCAGTCACAAAAGCACAAGCAGGCTTGCCCTACTACACAGGCACACTTCAAACCTCCACTGGCATCGTGTCTGCTAATACCCCATTAGCTGAGGCATCTCATAAGCTCAAACCCCTGGAGTGGGGAATTACAGTTCATGCAGCTTGAAGACTTGCTGGCTAGGCTTCCATAAAACATAGAAATGGACAATTATTCATGGAGATGGGGAATTGAACCAGCCATTCAGTCTACTGAAATCACTGAATCTCTCTAAGCGTTGTTTCCTCATCTGCCTGACGGGACTGCTGGGATCTGCTTGAGGTTTTGGTGACTTACATCATAAAGAAACAAGAATATTTTTGTTCTTTCTCTTCCTCACCCACCTGCCTTCGCTCATGGTGACTTCAGAGGACGTAAGAGGTAGGAGTTACAGAGGAGATGGAAAGATTTCACAGAGCATGCTCCAGCGGGCCAGTTAATTCTCTGCTTCTAAATGAAGCTTTTCAGGATGATTGCTCCACAGGGTGGAGGTTGTCCTCTCACAGGAGTCTGTGTGAAGTCATGGGTGGTGTTCCTGTGACTTTGCCCATCTTTACCATGTTTTTTTTTTTTTTTTTCATTCCCAGCCTGTAATGTACTTACCAGATGGCTCATGGATTAAAGTGTTTGTCACACAAGTGTGAGGGGGTAGAGTTTTGTTCCCTAGCACCCATGTAATTGCTGGTTGGGCACAATGGCCTACCTGTAGTTATAGCCTCAAAAGATGGAGACAAGGTCTCCAGGACAAGCAAGCTAACAAGACTAACAATATTGTGAGCTCTGGGTGTCACTGAGAAACCCTGACTCAGCAAATAAGGTGGAATTCTTAGAATCAACCTTGGGCATCCACATGCATTCAGACCCGTGTGCACACATACCGGTACACTCTGTAGCATGTATTCACACTCACACAGGCAACACACACAAACACGCACACATACACACACACATTCGTGCACAGAAACAAACACTGCAAAAATCATCAAGGATTTTTTTTTAGAGTTGAAAGGGACAATAGGAATCTCCCAGAACCAGCCTCCTTCTCAGATACTGGCAGCAGTAAGTGAGAGAGCTGTTTCTCAAGTACTTGTTGACTTAATGGTCTTCTTTCCTGTCATCTTAATGTTTCTGTGTGTGCATATATGTGTGTGTTTTTGTGTGTACATACGTGAAGGTCAGAGATGAGCCTTGAGTGTCGTTCCCCAGGAGCTACTCACCTTGTTTTCAGAATTCCTCTCTTTCTCTCTCTTCCTCCTATTTTCCCATATTCCTGTTTTTGGTGTGTGTGTGTGTGTGTGTGTGTGTGTTAGGGCAGGGCATGTGTTTGTTATTGTTGGGCATCTTTCTCAATCACTCTCTACCTTATTTTTTGAAACCTCTCCAGGTTTCTCATTGAACCTGGAGCTTGCCAATTCAGCTAGACGGATCTGAGAACAAGCCCCTTACCTTGGCACTGGGGTTATAGTAGTTCAGTGCCACTCCTGGCTTTTACCTGGGTCCTGGGGTCCTCATGCTTATGTGACAATCAGTTTATTGATTGAGCTTTCTCCCAAGACTTTCTGATCTTTGGAGACAGGGACTTACTATGGAGCCCAGGCTAACTTCAAGCTAGTAATTTTTTTTCAGCTTCTCAAGTTCAAGAAATACGGGTGTGACTCATCACCCGCAGCTGAATGCTCATTTCTGATGTGGCTCAGTGTCTTTTGTCCTGGTCTCAGCTTTGCCAATAGCTCCAAAGTAGCTTCTATAGCAGTTAGATGGAATTCAAAGCCAAGGGTAGACCATTTTCTTTTAGCTCCATGGGTGGTGACGGATGCTTAGGGCTCATAGGGGAGGGGTCCTATGAGGTCTTTGGGCCTGAGTGCTTTTCCTTCAGCAGGAAACAAGAGGATCTTGCCATTGGTGGGCGTCTCGGAGGTTGTGTGGCTCACACTCCGTCAGCTGCTCCGGCAACTTCTGTTTAAGCATCTGGGCCACAGGGAGCAGGAGATGTAAGGACACACGCTGATGTGCATTTCCTGCTTCCTCCAGATGTGTGGGAGCTCTTCCCCAAACTCTCACTCGGTTCAATTATGACATTGTCTGCCTGGAGATAATACTCAAAGGAAGGCTAGGTCTCATATGGCTGTCTGCCTACTTTAGATGCCAGGTACAAGTTGCAGATTGTCATCTGTGTTTCTGACTAGCTGGCTATAAATTGGTGTTTCCAGGACATCTTACCACAGCTCAATTCATTTGTTAAATGTGTGTGATAGAACTCAGGAAAACATTTCATTTATGCTCTGCCATTTTTTATAAAGGAATTTTAAAGCTGACGATGGCAGAGACAGAGATAGGCAGGGCAGGGTGTCTGCAAAAGGATCCAGAGCTCCTATAACCTCCTTGAATGCACCGACTTCCCTATACCTCCATGCATTCAGTTCTCAGACAGTTATCTCAACCCTGTCCTTTTGCGTTTTCAATAGAGCTTTCTTAGACAGGCATAACCAACTCTATCTCCAGCTCCTCTGCTCTGCTTGAGGGTGGAGGCGTGGCTGCACATTCCCACCATCTAACCTTATCTCTAGTTGTCAGACTCTGTCCTACAGCTGTCTAGGATCCCCACCCCCACACCACCAGTTATCTCATTAGCATGCAAAAGCTATCCTCACCACTGGTGACTAGAAGGAGCCCTTTGCCGTGAAACTGGATGAGTGCATTCATGGTGTGTTCTACAACATCACTAGAACTCTTGACCTTCCCTTCTGAGGTAGACTGTCAGATTGTTAATGTTGAGCTTCAACGTCCATCTCAATTCCTGTATAACCCCAAACCTAGCTTCTGGCTTTACTTTTAGAAGCCACACAGTATGAGACCATTCCTCCATACTTGTTTGATAGAAACCCTCTCGCGGGTCTAGGGAACACTGAAGCCTTCTTTAGTTTCTCTCCAGTCTTTCTAGTAGCCGTTCTAGTAGATGGAGGATGTTCTGGTCTATCTGTGAAAATACTATGCTGTCTTTAAAAGGTACCACCGTGAAGGGGGGTGTGATTTTCTGTGTGTGGTATGAGTAGAACGTTGTTATTGTTACTGCCTGAGCTGGGTATCATATTCTATTTACATACTCACAATTTCATTAGTGTTTTGGCCTGGGAGTGGAGGCAGGGGCTCCAGGCCTCTGACACCTGACTGTGGACAACTGCGGCTCTTAGCTGGTCCAGGTGGCTTTCTTGATTTTCTCTCCTTGTCTTCCATTTTCTTTTCAAATGAGAGATTACCCAAGTTTTATATGCAGTCATGTTTAAAGCTTAAGTTTGAATTAAAATTTGTAGTATAGTTGAAGGTAAGACAGATGTTCCTATATACTTCCAACTTTCCCGTTTGGTAACATTGTACATAACTGCAACAAATGAAGATCCTACAAGGACATGGTCAACTGTAGTCTTTGTTTGATTTCGTGAGATTTTTTCCCTAAAATCTTTATTCATTTAAGAGTTCAGTGAAGGTACCATACTGCACTGCACCAAGTTACAGGTAACTTTAAAGCAAAACAGAGTTCTTTCTTGTTTCATTCTTGATTACAGAAGAATGTCTAGTTTGGATTTTATATATATTTTGTTTATTTCAATAGTATTTTCTTCTTGCCTTTTATTTCCTTTTGTGTCTCTGGCCATGGAATCTAACTATATTTTTGCGTTTTCCTGTTTTGGGGTTCATCTGTGTTTCTGAAGGCAGGTTATTTAGATTATACCTGGGACTCACCCCCTGGCTGGGGTGGGACTCTTTCAACTGGTCTGCTAGTGTAGAGGGATTTTCCCATGAGGCCCATCCTGGGACCCCTGTCTTTGAAGGGCACTTTATGTTTTATGGGATGGTGTAGCAGCTTCCCAGCCTGCACTGAGAAGCCTCCTGTCCCTGTATTCTGCATCCACCTGCACAGCACGAACTGGCACGCCACAGACACGTGATCATGTGTGCTTGTTGTTTGAATTCATTGCCTTTTCTTGTTTATATTAAGAAAACCACAAGAACCACAAATCATCGGAGTTGTAAAGTGGGTTCCTTACACCCAGTGTTTGTTTGGTAGTCCTTTTTCTTTCTGATTTTTCTTGGCACAGGGGGATGCTGCTGTGTCTTAGATTCCAGATGCCTCCCATCACCCTCCTTGTCTAACTCCCTCTCTCCTCTCACTCATGCTTATTAATTCTAGTACCTAGACTCTCTTTTATTGTTTGTTAAATTGACGCTTTTTACTTATTTATTCTCTCCCTCTCTCTCTCTCTCTCTCTCTCTCTCTCTCTCTCTCTCTCTCTCTCTCTCTCCCTGTGTGTGTGTGTGTGTGTGTATGCCACAGCACATATGTAAATGTCATAGAACAATCTGGTTGAATCTCTTCTCTCTTTCTACCTTTATGTGACTTCTGGGGATCAAATTCAGATTGCCAGGCTCGTACGGAAAGCCATGGCTTAGGACTGAAGTCCTCATTTACATCTACAACAAATGGGGATGGTATTACTGTTCTACAGTATAGCAGCACTTCTTTTAACCTGTGTGGGGCTAACCTTATTCTGATAAAGCCGATTTATGAGCAGCAGTTACCTCATAATTTCTGGAAAATTCCTTTGCATTGTTCTTGTCAGTTCATTTTATAATGTAAAATATGAAAGAATACCAGTAGGAGGAAACCT